TATATATGTTAATGTTCATTAAAAATAGATATAAAGTTCAGTTACATAAATATGTAGTTCAAAAAAACTAACCATACTTTTATATTGTTATATTAGACCAACAACAAAACAGGATGTTAATGCAAACAAAAGACCAAGAAGAGAAGAGATAAAATTGCCAGCTAGTCTAAAGTCCCCATTCATGATGAAATACAAAGATTTGTTCAAAAATGTTAGTGCAATGTATGCAACTTTGTCTGATTATGCATTCAGTGATGGGCCTAATGAGTAAGTTTTCTAATTTAACTCTATTGTTAATAAATTCATTAGATTTGTTCAGATAAATATTTATATAGTTCAAATAATAAAATAAATCTTAATTTAATTTTGTTAATTTTTTTCGTTGTATTGGCAGTGAGGTGTTGTACCGTAACGGAGATAATAGTGTCAACATGGAAGAAATGAAGACACTTGGAACAGATGCAGAGATCAATACAGCAATTATTGATGCTTGGGCTCATATCTTGAACATCAAGGGCAAAAAAAAATAGCATATACTTCTCCACAATGCCATACGTAAGAAAATAAATATTAAATATTCTCAAATAAACATGTTCAATAATTTTATGTAACTTGTTCAGTATATTTTTTTCAAATGTTCATTATGTTTATAATGACTGTTCATTATTTTGAATTGTTAATTGGCAGTTGATTGTATGCACAGACAAAGGTGCAAGTGCAAACACTACCACAAGAAATAAGACATGAGAAGTTTGCACAAAGATTGCGCTATGAAATGAATAATAGTGGAATTCAAAAACATAAAAAAATTTAGGGAATTCTTGTTTCCAGTGGCTGCATATAAGCACATCTACTTGATGTGTATCAACATGTACAAAGGCACAATTGATTTTGATCGATAACAGAAAGCTTCCAATGAATGTGAAAGCATCTACAAAGTATGAAGATCATCCACAAAAGATGGTAAAGTACTAATTTTTTTTTTATTCAATTTATTCTTAAGCTGTGTTCAGTAAATTGTGTTCAGGTGTTTCAAATAATGTTTCATTTTGTTTATCAGCTAGAGGCTTTTGCATATTTCATGCGATAAAAAAATGCGGGAAGTGATGTTGCAAGAGTCTTAAGTTTCAAAACTGACTTGATCAAGATAAAATGGAGAATCAATTTGGTTCATAAGAATTGTGGTGTTTAAGTGATGAAACATATGGAAACATACACAACAGAGCCTTTGCTAGAATGGAATTGTGATTTTAAAGCAAATGATGTGAGTTTCAACAATAGTGTTCATATGTTTTCTTTATTTGTTCAAAACATTTAATACTTTGTTCATAATTATATGTTTTCTTTACATGTTCAAGTTGATCAAATCAGAAAGCTTAGGGTGCAGTATTGTTCAGAAATAATTTTAAGCCTCACCAATAGAGAAGGGTACAGAATGAAATGGCAGCAAGAAAAAGAATTGAGGAGAATTAATATTTAGATTTAATGACATTTCAAGAAACTGTGATTTTATTTAATGTGTTTGAATTTTTAGTTTGAATTGAGATTGACTTAAATATGTAATATTTGTAGTGTAGTTGTTGATATTAAGATTATGTTCAAATATTGAAGTGTAGTTGTTCATTTTATAAAATATGTTTGTCAATATTTTTTTTGTCTAATAAAAAAAATAACAAACAATTTAAAAGTAATGATAAAAATATTCGTATATATTGAAAATTAATAAGAATTTGAATTTTGTTACATATTGAAAACCTATGAAAATATATTCATATATAATAAGCACCTAAGAATTACTTGTCTTGTCAAACATTGATAACATTTTATCATAATTTGAAACATTAGAAGATCCAACACCACGAGACCCTTCATTCCTTGCTTTGCGACCAGCATCAAAAATACTAAAAACACAAAAATTCAAAGAACAATACTAAAAAAACAAAAAAAAAAAAAAAAAAAAAAAACAAAAATATTCAGAATAGAGAAAGAGAATGTCCATACTTACTTGAAACCATTTACTAGTCTCATATCGAAAACCTTTGTTATGACTCACTTCAGATGATTTCCTTTTTTTACCTTGACAACCACTTGAAACCTAACAAAAATTAAAAGTTCAGATTATAGTATAAGAAGTTCAAAATAAATCTACAAAAGTTAAGTGAAAAAGTTACATGTCTTGTAGAAGACTGAGAACCAGTTGATGGAAAGTAAGTTGAAGATTGATGACCAATAACCTACAGAAAATTAAGATTAATTCATAATTTAAATTAGAAGTTCAAAATAAAAAAATTAAACAATTCAATATAATAATTACATTTGATAAAGGTGGCTGAGTAGCTCTTGAGAAAGATTTTATATTTTTAGCTTGAGATCCACATACCTACAAAACATATAGTATATACATAAAAATATATATACTAATAAATTATTTTTAAAAAATGTCAAAAATGTTAAGACTAAAGAGGTTAAATTTACAGAGGAAGACTGGGTATTAGTTCTTGGAAATGTATTTGAAGCTTTTGATGAGGACGGCTGAAAAGAATTAGGTCCTGGAATATTATTGGATGATTGTCCTTCAAAAACCTACAAAATTATCAAAAGATCAGAAATAAAATACAGAAGTTCAAAATATATAAAAGAAAAATCAATAAAAAGATACATTTCTTGAAGAAGACTGAGAAACAGTCGCTAGAAAGTTAGTTGAAGCTTGATGAGCAAAAACCTATAGAAAATTCAAAATAGTTCAGAATATAAACACAAAAGTTCAAAACAAACCAAAAATAGTTCAGTAAAAAAATTACGTTTGATAAAGGTGGCTTAGTTGTTGAAAAAGAATTTGAAGCTTTTGATGAGGATGGCTGAGAAGAATTTTCTGAAGCTTGATGACCAAAAACCTAAAGAAAAATCCAAGTTAGTTCAGAATTTAAAAACACAAATTCAAGAAAAACTTAAAAAAGTTCAATAAAAAAATTACATTTGAAAAAGGTGGATGAGAAGCACTTGAGAAATTTTCAGAGGAAGGCTGAACATTAGTTGTTGAAAAAGTATTTGAAGCTTTTGATGAGCATGGCTGAGAAGAATTAGGTCTAGGAAAATTGTTGGATGATTGACCTTTAAAAACCTACAAAATTAACAAGTTCAAAAGTAAAACAATAAAGTGCAAAAAAAAAAAAGAAAAATAATTACATTAGATGAAGATTGCTGAGTAGATTTAGTTGAAGTGTTACTATTTTTGAATCCTTTTCCATTTGAAGCTTGGAAACCAGTTCTAACACCATCACCAAAAACCTAAAAATAAAAATGAAATTAAACATATATAATAGAAAATTATTAAAAAAAAACAATTGAAATGTTCAACAAATACTTACATTTGCTGATGATGAATGAGAAGCATTGGTTGAAGCTTTACTATTTTTACTTTGAACATTCTTTCTCTTTGGAAGAACAGAAAGATTTGAACCTTGTGTTGTTTGGATGTGAATAAATCAAAGGATCTCCATCATCATCTAAAACCCGCAAATAAAATAAAATTATAAGTTATTCAATAAAAAATGACAGAAGTTCAGATAAATAGAACAGGGGTTCAAAAGTACCTCAACAACCAATTTTTGGACAGTAGCTCTGGCTTCATCTTTATATTTATCTACTTTCTTTTTCCAACCCTTACCTTTATTACACGCTTTCTCAACAGTACTTTTTGGCCTGTAGTTTCTCTCACCCTTTTTCCTAGCTATTTTTGGATTGTTTATGAACCCTTCTTCATCAACTTCTTCATTAGCTTCTTCACCAACTTCAACATCTTCAATATCAATTGGACCTAGCACACTTTCCACCTTTTCACGTAACATTTGAAAAGTATACTCAGCTTCAGTTCTTGCTAAAATATCTTCTTGACATGATGTTACTAACTGAACATACTTCCTAACCATTTGAACTCTCCAAACAGTAGAAGGAACAACTTTAACATCTTGACATGTATCTTCATCAGAAACATGACTACACATAGCCTTCTTAGTCCACCTCTTCACTATGTACTGTTCTGGTATCTTTTGAACACAATGAATATTACATATACGAAGAGAGTGTCCACATAACAACCCCATTTAACTCCAATACTTACATGTGCAATTGATGTTGAAGGTAAATTTCTCATAAGTAACTTCATGCCTTATAATGTCCTCATTTTTCCTCCAAACATAATAACAAATAGTCTCATCATCTTAATGCTTTCGCTCTTGACAACATTAAATGTCTTTTGCAAATTGATCCTCAAAAACAACATACACAGAAATAGTATAAATCTCCCTAGAGTGTATGAGCAAACGAACATTAGCTACTGCAAGATGACGGTTACCCGTCAAAAAACGGAAATCTTGCTTACTTTCTTTACTCCTCCACTCTTATATAACATCAAGAAAAGTACTATAAAAAGTCACTCAAACCATCTGTTTTATTCAATCTATTGGAAACATAATGATTTGTTGTTTCACTCCTATGGGATGACAAAACTCCACCCGAAAAATAATCCTTTGAATAAGCAGGACACCATTTTTCTTTGATATCATACAAGTGATTTAACCAATTATTTTCTGAACACTTTTATTTTGTCATCATTCTATCAAAAACAAAAAACAACAAACCAATAAACAAAATGATAATATAGTTGTTCAAATTACAGCAACAAAAGTTCAAAACATAAATAATACTGTTCACATGCACTTGTTAAACATGAAAAGTAAAAATGTTGAAATTAAATAATTAATAGTTCATATATAAAGAAAGGTTCAAAACTTAATACATTTAATTCAAATATATAACATTAATGTTCAAAAAGAAACAAATCAAGTTAAATTCAATAAAATTAAGTCCGCAAATATGTAAATGTAATAGTTCAGATTTCAAACAGAAACAGTTCAAAATATAAACTAAAAGGTTCAAATAAAATTAAAAAAAGCTTACCTTGGCAGTAATGTGCAAATTCAGCAGGACTTTCACAGTACTTAAGAAAATAATCGAATACTTCTGGAAACCCTTTCAATATTCTGAGTCCTCCTATATTGGTCTTTGTATTCGTTCTCACCAAAGTGCCAAGTGCACAAACGGTGCCGAGTGCTTGGAAAAATTTGTCGAATTGCTGCAGCAATTGAAGGGGCTTGATCAGTCATTAAGGTTATGGGGTCTCGACATCTTCCCATAGATCTCATAAAAGCCTCAAACAACCATACAAAACTGCTGGTCTTTTCATCAAGAACAAAACCCATTCCAAACATGACATTATTGCAATGATGATTCATACCAACAAAAGGGGCACAAATCATGCCATATTTGTTAGTTCTATAGGTGGTATCGAAGACCATCAAATCACCAAAAGCTTCATAATCCCTTCGCATTCTTCCATCCCTACAAAATACACTACAAAGGGCATGATTTCCACCGACCTCAAACTCATAATAAAAGTCACTCTCTTTGGCTTGTCTTGTAGCAAAAGACTGGATCAAAGCATTACAATCACCACCTTCTAATCTGCAAGCTTTTTCAGTAGCTAAAGTGTTGTAAACATCAGTAACAGTGTAGCATAGATTAGGAGATCCACCAACTTCTTTCCTTAAAGCGCGAAGAGAATCCGTAACCCTAACCCCACTAGCCTTTATAGTACTTATGAACTTCAAATGCTCACCTTGAATTTTCCTTTGAGACCTAAGGAGATGTCTCTTCTCAACAGGTATCATAGCATGATTGTGATCCATATTGTGTTTAACAGCAGTCCAAACACCTTTCTCATCAATAACAAAATCAATGTAAGCTTCACAACATGTACGGCAATCCAACTTAGAAAACTTCTTAGGCACCTTAGAAGAAGTATCTTTCAAACCAACATTTGAATATAGGTTGTTTCTACCTCTCCAAACACTTGAATTACCAACATATCGAACTTTCCCTTTCCTAATACTAAATCCATGCCTAAATGCATAATCATTATACATTTCATATGCCTCCGCATCACTTTTGACTTGTTTCCACTGTAATTCAGACTTCTCACTTTCCTTATAAACAACTTCATACTTATAAACTGCAATAAACAAACAAAATGCATAACAAACATTATTAAAGTTCAAAAATAAAACAAGAGAGTCCAAATAAAGGGATACGATGTTCATAATTACTTGTACATTCCTATATTTATAAACATACATGATCAAAAGTTCAATAAAATAACATAAAGGTTCAAAAGTATAATAACAGTGTTCATAATATTGTAAAACTACTAATAATATGACTAATCGAATTATAAACAAATAATATTCATAAATTTCATCAACAAATGATCAAATTCATCACAAATTAATAAAAAACAATAAGAAATCTAAATCAATTTAAAAATACAACTAATTAAACCTAAATATTGTGCAATGTTCAGAATCATATTAAACTTCGGATACAGAAATCAAATTCAAAACACTTTGAACTAAAATTTAAGTATATCTATCAAATTCTCGACATAAATTGTTCAACAAGAAATCAAAAGATGCGAATGTTCAGAATCAAGAATTCATGAACAGTTTAATAAACAAATGATCAAATTCATCACAAATTAACAAAATACTATTGCATAATCATATTAATCAAAATCTCTTCAAAAATTCAAGAAGATTAAAAGAAATAGATCAATAGTTTGATTACTTAATCAATTAATCAAAAATCATATTATGCAATGTTCAGAATCATATTAAACTTCAAATTTCAAGAAAATCAAAAATCAAATTCAGAAAATCACAATGTCATATCAAATTTTAGCAACTAAATAAAACTTAATTATAGAATGAGTTCAAATCAAACGATAATTAAAAATTCAAATAATTATCAATAATTAAAAAGTAATAAAAAATTACATTGGAAATACCTAATTAACGAATATTATCAATTAAAATAAGAAATCTAACCTCCAATATCAAGAACTTCAGGTACAGGAATCAAATCCATGGCGAAGAAAAAACAATGAAGAATAGAGCAATAAAAAAATGGTGAATAGAGCACTGAAATAAACGGAGAGAGAAAGTAAAGGAGAGAAAAAATTGATGAGAGAAAACTAGAGGAGAAAGAAAATCGACGAAAGAAGATTTTTGAATGATAATTGAAAAGGAAAATTTGAGAAATTAGGAAGGAATTGAAAAAGGAAAGAAACGCGGAAAATAATTGCAAAATAAGAAACTTCAGCTCGAAAAGAAGAAGCTACATGGCAGCGTGTAATTGGTGGTGCACACAAAACTATATGCACAAGGGTGCATATTATAATTTGCAACAAAAAGGAGTGTCACAAATCACAATTTCTTGTACAACAAGGCGGCCCAAAACTAAAAAGCAACATAAAGCACAAAATAAAAGCAATCAATTTATGCATCTCACTTACACAGAACAACAACACAGAAAAAACTCGAGCTAATTGAAGAAGTTCAACAATGGAGGAAGGAACAAAGGTCATTCCACATCAAATTGGAGGAATCCACAACGATGCTCTTCGATTCGGTTTCCATGGCGTCAAGAGCGAGATTCTCGAAGCTCATCCTCTACAATCTGCTGTTCTTAAAGTACAATTTTCTCTCTCTTCATTTTCATCTATCTTTCTCTCTCTTCTGTTATTGATGATTATTTCATCGATTTAGGCGGAGAAAACTCAGCAAGAGATGAAGAGGAAGATTCTTGCTAACACTTATGGTTCCGCTCTTCCGCTTAAGATGGACCTCGATCGACAAATTCTTTCTAGGTTTTCTTCTGATTAGTTTTCTATTAATTTTTTCTATTGATTTTATTGTTTTTAATGCGATTCAATTTCTGGTTTTGTGATTGTTGTAAATTGAATTTGTGAAAAACCCTAATTTATATGAATTTCGGGCGTTAAGATGTTGAATTTGTTCATTTTGCTTAACTAAGGATTGTGGGCATCTACTTAAAGACTGAATTAGTGATTGATGGATTTATGTGATGGGGTTTTCGGGTGGATTTGTGGGATTGAAGCAGGGTTTTTTGATCAGTTTCGCTAGTTAGGAATTAATTAATAAGAAATGTTGTGAAATTATGTGAATGTCTTGGTTACTGCTGTTGGGTTTAGACCTGCAAGTGAATCTGCAACAGCTTTATGAGGTAGTGTTAAGCAGATTATTGTTAAAGGCTAAACTGTGGGTTCGGATGTGGTATATTAAGGTTAAAAACTTGAAAGGCTAGAACTATGACATTTCAGCTGATCTATCATGACTGGTGAGGTGATTATGCCTTATGAATGGAAATATCTGAGTTGGAAAATGGAAATTGGAGAGTGAAGATCGCAGCTAATAAAGTACGAGTATGCTTGTTGGGATTACCACTGTTTCTTTTGGGTTCGCTATCAGTGCCAGGAAGGTTAGATTAGAAGTCTATGTATCTTTGGTAGGTGTTGAGAGAGAAGATGAGGGTTTAAAGTTCTGTAAGTGTGTTTTGAGCCAAGTTGCTAATAGTTAATAAAAAAAAACTTGTTTGAAACAATTTTTAGTAATATCAATCTACAGATGTTACTAGTATGAGATTTTCTAAAGACTAATATGTAAGTAGTTGACATTGGGTACTCATTAAAGGGACTAGCTTTGGAGAAATTATTGCTTGGTCTAGGACTATTGCTCCCTCTATTGTGAGGAAAAAGAGCATGAGCCGAACATTGGTTGAATATTGGAGTAGTTTCTTTCTGATGCTCCATTTTTTTTTTTTCAAATTTTAGTTGCCCAAGCGTATAAGCTGGATTCTAATTGTTTTTTCAGTCATTTGAGCCGAACATTGGCTAAATATTTGGAGTGGTTTCTTTGATGGTTTGCACTCTAATTGGTATCATTTTGCTAGTAAGGTCTGAAGTTTGAATTATAATTTTTATATGTATAGAGAATAGGAAGCACTGAAGCATACTGTTTTAACTTACAATTTACTCTGAATTTCATGATCACATCACTCCCAAATTTTCTGTTTTAATACCCGTGGGTTGGGGCAGCATATTCATGTGTTGCTTATCGATATCTATTGTATTTATCTCTTGGGCTATGTTTTGCATGTCTGTAGAGACCCATCATCAATTAGGTAAGTTGTATATTCTTAGACCTTTCTATTTCCATGCTAGGTTGTTCATGATGTTCCTATGTTTTACTGGTCTTTAATTCTGGACAAATACCTATCTTAAACAAGTGTCATATAATTTGTGAAAAAATGTACCAACTGTAGTGCTAAGCATTATTGTGACTCCAATCTGACTTACCATTTTTCTTTTACTTTGTTTTCTATGCTGTTGGCACATGCTTCACTAATACATAGTATATGAGCTTTTGTTGCTAGTCTTTGACTTGCATGTGCTAAAAAAAGGGATCTGGTAGGAAAGTGATCTGAGTTCAGCTGATCATGCAATTCCTTATTGTTTTGCAGGTTCCAGAGGCCTCCTGGACCAATATCATCCTCTATGCTAGGGTTGGAGGCAGTGACAGGAACGTTAGATGATATTGGTTTTGAAGATTATCTGAACGGTAATAAAAAACACGCAACTTTAATTGTTTTAACAAAATATGTGCTTCTCTTATTTGCCCAAACCACGATATAGTTGGCAGAACCAATAGAGTTTAAGTATTTACATTGATTTTCCTCTTTGTACTTTGGATGCAACTGATATTCTTTGCAACTTTTAACTACACTCTGGTTTTTATATGTTATTACTGAGGTACCCACCTGCTTGATCTTTGATCACAGTACATTCACTACAAATCGATAGCATATTAGTATGAGAATTAATAGTTTGAGCTATTTGTTGGTCTCATATCTTGTTCTGTTGCAGATCCACGTGATTCAGAATCCCTCCGAGTTCCAGACATGCATCATGGCATGGAAGTTCGTCTAGGCCTTTCTAAAGGACCAGTTGCCCCGTCTTTCTTCTGATGGGTTACTATTGTTGCTGGAGATGTTCTCAAATAGTTGGAAATGGATGTATGAATGATCTTGCTATTGTTTCCTTAGACATCTAACTCTAGTGAGACTTTTTGTTATGGAAATATGTCAGCTTGATCTAATGGGAGTATGAATGATCTTACATTTAAATTTTTATGCTTCCAATAGTTGATCCAGTTTTCCTCTTTTGCATGCTTATGATTTTTTAATACATATATGATGCTGTTGGCTTTCCTAGCAAAAACACAAGCTGGTTGTCTGAATTTTCTTTGCTTAGTAAGTTAGTAGGAAGTGAGACTCCATTTGATTAAGGGCCTTGTGAAAAGAGACTCTCACAGGATGTAAGCTGACTGTGAATTCAGGTCTGATAAGTTTATCAGTTGAATGATTTCTTCAATTCTGGAATTCCCCAACACTATCAAACAAGAAATTGCTCCGACAAAAAGCAGAACATTCAAATTACGGTTCTAAATTTCTTTTGGTACATTAATGGTTTATTTCTCTATTGAGGCTCCATAGAAGCAAGCTTAAATCTGGAGCTTGACTTTTAATACTACTTTCGGTCCAAATTACTCGCAACTTTGGAATATTTTATATCTCACAAATAATACCACAAAGTTGCGAGCAATTTGGACCGGAGGTAGTATATCGAACTTAGGGCTTGTTTAAGTCACCTTATTTTTGCTTATCTGAACTTATTTGGTATGGTCTGATCTGAATGTCAAATTTGACTAAATTTTGACCTTAAATATACGATAATCAATTAGGAAAAAATATATTAAGTGGGCTCTTGTTAAATTTGTAATAATGTGCATTTTATTAATAAGTGATTTTTATAAAAAAAAAAAATTCATTACAAAATTAAAGATATTTAGCGATAAAAAACTGCCCATAAAACGATGATCTGATCTAAACTTATTTTTTTTTGAAATAAGTAAAAATAAGGTGAACTAAATAATGCCTTAATCCATATGTTGAAAATGCTTACTATAGTTGCATTTGTTTTTTCTTCAAATATCTCATACTAGTGTTAAAATTCTTAATAACTGACTCAAAACGAACCTGACTTAGCCACCTGAATTACCTTTTAAGTTTTAACAACCCATCATCATATTGTAGAAAACACAGGCAAAACTAAATAAATAAATAAATAAATTAACCCTAAAATTCTAATTTAAAGGGATAAACATTTATTTGTTGTTGATGGAAGCCCCAAGAAAACTATGACCTTTGTGATAGAACGAGATATGAGCAAAAAAAAGAGGATGCACAGCAGGCCGGGCTACCTAGTCATGTAATTTCATTTTAATTACAATTACATCAATGGAAAAACAAAGTGGCTCAAAGGGATCCAAACCAATTTCGATGACTATAGTCTTACTATTTCTTAAATATTTTCTAGTTGGTACATTTGTTTTACCACGTTAGTCAATGCAAAACTTTTACGATTAGAATATCTAATTATCAACAATAAAAATTATAAAGAAAATGTACACAGTATTATGAATTGAACCATTTCTAACAAAACCTTACATAACTATACTTCTTAAATAGAAATCACAATAGTTAAGAGTTTGTGAATAGTGTCACAAATCAAAATATATCAGCTAAAAAATTATGCAGGAAGTATGACATAGCCCAAGATAAACAGGTCCAGACTCCAGACACATAAGAAACCATCTAAAACAGAATAACATCTGAGAGTCTGAGAGAGAATGGCTCAGCTTGTAACTGAGATCTAAAACAGAACTTTGAACAGCCAGCTTTACAAGAACAGGAAAAAAGACCGATTTAGGGAGACAATAATCTCATTCTGGACATTTTGATACTGACAACCCTCTCAATAACTGTAAACAGACTAACGAAATGAAAAAGCCCAAAGTCAGGGAATGGTCAAGAGTTTGTTAATTAGCAAACTTCAAAGCATGTTAGTTAGCAAACGTATTAAGCTTATGAAAGGCAAATAAACAGTTCGTAAATCTTAAACAAGAAATTCAAGTCCATTAATGAAGAATTGAGGAATATAATTGTCAAATGTTAGATTGTAAAGATTACACAAATGTACAGTTTCAGAAATATATAGATTCTAAGCTTATGTACAGAATTCACAATAGATGAATAGATGCGTTAGACAAACTAAGTCAGCAGTTTATTTACATGTAGTGCCACTGCCAAAATACCTTCTGCACTATCCCTCCACCACTTCTGACAGCAAGATGAAGTGTGTCGGAAGCAGGAGGAACACCCCAAAGTAGTGGCACTGCAACAGTCATACTCAGCTTCTCCTGTAATCCACCCTTCGTTCCTTTCTCAGCGACAACAACCTGCACCATCCAGTTCTTCAGCATACATATGAATTTTTTAAAAGCACAGGATGCATTTACATGGAAGTAATTTGCTATATTCCATTTCCTATTAAGGAAAATATATACTTCCTCCATTTCTTATTTATTTGCAACAATTCTATACTAACATTCTCAATGCATGAATTCAATTGTTATAATTTTAATCATCAATGAACAAAAATTATACTTTATTCATCACGTATTAATTAAATTAAAACACCTTTCTTTTTCATCCGTTTCTAATTAATTGCAACATATCCTTACCTGGTAAGGACCCAATATTATTTACAGAGTATTATATCCCTTACTAACCCTAGCTGCACTATAATTTTATTATTTTTCTCACCCAACCCCACTTTTTTTTTTTTTTTTTTTTTTTTTAATTCTCTTACCCACTAACAATTAAAACTAATTCCCAGTAACTATGCTATATATTATTAATATTATATTCACGCTTTGGTCTCCGCCCTTTAATTTTCCAAAAACTTTTTGTAATGCCTACAATTGCAATTAATCCTTAATGGAGGGAGTACTAACCTACTAAGTTGCAATTTTGAAAATGCACTTTCACGAATATAACAAGATCCGCAAGGCAATTTTTTTTTCTTAAATACGTAGTATAAATTACCTAGAATTGTCAAAGTAAAATATAAAAAATAGTGCAAAAGGCTAAGTGTTGCATCTAAATTAAATCAAAGGAAAATTGGAGGAAGTAGTTTGTAGCTCAAAAGATCTACATCCAAAGAGACCTATTTTTCACGTTAGATTTTATGCTTGTTTCTATCTGGAAAATGAGCTTTTCAATAAGAAAATAACAAGTTCAAAGTGACGGAGTAATTTCAAATAAGATATAATTTAGCTTAAAGGTTAGTACAGGAAATTTGTTATGCCTAAAATCTTACTTGGGAACATTACCCCTTTATTTTTGGATCTTCTGATGAGGAAGTCTTTGTAAACATATTAAACAGTCACGAATTCACACCATAAAAAGATGTTCATAGATTAAACATGTGCATCAAAATGTTACAACATGAATCTTTCTTTGAATTCACGCAGCTAAATTAAAAATTAATAGAACAGGTTCACTGGTACAAACCTCTCCACCTTGCTCCAGGACACTGTCCTCAACAACATCACTAAGCATCTCAATTGAACGACAAAAGCTGACGATGCAAAGCCTTCTACCCGTATCAAGCCCCTGACAAATTTAATTACAAAAGCATCGTTGAAGTACAACAAAATCGCATTAAAACATAAACAATAGGTCTGGTTCAACAACTAATTGTAGCTATCTACATTCCTTACATTTGTTGCTGCAATATCAAAAAGTGCACCCAGACAAAGGCTTTGGTTTGGATCCATATAATCGCTCTCCTGAAACCGCTGATACCTCGGAGGAACTCTCACCTTACCCTGCCTCTTCTGCATTATGAAACCCCAATTTTGGCAACTTAACAAGTAATAACTAAAAATAAAACATTGAACTGAAAGAAGACATCAATAAATGGTAATCAGCACATCGTGAATGCAGCAAATAGCAAATTTCAATAGCAATAGCCAGAGGTAAATGCCACGACGAGTCCAAATTTGTATTGATTTAGAACACTGACTTAAGTTTGGTTAGTAAGGCATAGATTTTAGTATGTCTGAAAAAGAGGCTCTCTCACAAGTCTGGCTAGCACAGGGCTATTATGGATGACAAGCAGGTCAAGCCCTAAGAGTGGGCAACCGGCAACCCTTACAATGAAAGCAGCAAATTGAGCCATCATACATGCATGCCACCAAATGCCACATTTGCTAGTACTCCCTCTGTTGCTTGACTTTTTGCAATATTCACACACTCCACTTTGACCAATTTTGGTGACTTGTACATTTCAATATGTAGTTTTTGAATATCAACTTTTTATGATTTATACGTGTTGATGATACTAAATAAAAATATAGGGCAAACTTTTGAATTGGCATACGCACCAAGTCAAATTTGAGGGCACTTGAACAAAACTGATCAACAAGAGCATAATCATATTGAAACATCCCAGGAAGGATTAAATGACAATCATAGTGAAACAAAGAAAGTATATTTGGATACTTCAGTTGAATATTTTAATTCTGCATCCTCACATCTTTGGTCTTTTGTGACAAAAGCAACCTTTACATTTCTTTTTTTATTTAGTAATGAGTATATAATGAATAAAAACCATAAGAATTATAAAAGATAAATATAAATCATCTATTAAAATTTTCAAGTCACATTTCATGCCAAAAGTAAAATAAATTTTATCAAATCAGATTATGTTATACAAGGATATACTTCGTAATATATAGAGTATAGACAACTCTGACTAATTAATGGTAAGTTTCAAAAATCGTCGTAATTAATTAAGACCCAAAGGGAAAACAATAGAGTGAGAGAAGTGGAAGTATTACATGCATATCTCATAAAACATATAGTTCGCACCAAACTTGTATTTAAGAAAGTTTCAAGCATAAAAAAACCATCAAACATTATGATAAAAAATCATTAAATAAGGTTTGTAATTATAAGCATAAAGCCCAACTTATTCCAACCAAACCACAAGTCAATTTCTTACTCTGTATTAAGCTCATAATAAAATGATCCTCTTGCTACCTAAGTCAATGACTAAATGCATCTTTTAAACCAAAATTAGGAAATAGAGTAAGTCTTTTCCAAATCAAGGCATACCTCTAATGGAGAAATACGCCGAGGAACCAAAGAACCTCCAAGTTGTATGAGCCCATCTGCAGTGAACATTGTGATTGTGTCCTCACGAACCCACTGAATACCTATACAGCAACTCAAATTTCAACAAAAGTTTGGAAAGTTTCAGAAGTGCTTATATCTGACCTATTTCTGGCAATAAAGCATTAGACTAAAATACAATAGTACTTATAATGCAAGATTGAACCGAAAGTGCAATATTCCAACTTGGGAACATGGTTAAAACTTAAAAGGATGTCCATCAGACTGCTCAGGGCAAGTAACATGACTAACATCACACTTAAAAGCAAGTATGCAAAGCTGAAGGAAACTACTTTGTATCAGAAGAAAAAAAGGATAATCATCCAATTTGCAAATGATTATGAGACATATCCTTCTACATAAAAGACAATCAAAGAATTATTCCCAGTCTATAAAATCACCACCCCCCCCCCCCCAAAGTAAATAAGGGTAATTGTTCTGAACTATAAATCAGTTCATCTGTAGTATGAAAGATGATACACCATCATTTCCCATCAACAGGCTACAGCATAAACCTCAAAAATTCATCTTATATAACAGCTCTGTTTGAAGGGCTCCTATTCTGAGATTTTAAATTAAAAAAAAGCTATAGAACACCATTTCTCCTGCTTGACTAGTATGAAAAAAACAAAAAATTGTTTACATCTGTCACAACATTCTGATTTTGATATCTGAGACCACAATTTACTTGATAAAGAAGATGAAATGAAGAATAAACATTTTCACGTTCAATAAACAAAATTATAATAAACATTTTCACATTCAATAAACACAATTATATTAACATAGTTGTCGTCTCTGACATGTAGCTAAAAAAGAACGATCCCAACTATAAGCGGTATTTTCAAACTAATTACAATATTGAGTAACTTTATATTTCAAACTATTTGGTCTACCTTCTTAAATTAAGCCTTTTTTTTAAATAACCACCAGTTAAATCACCTCTCCCCTTCCCATCCCCTCCCACCCACCCCACCCCAATCCCTTCCCAGTTCCCACTACCAAGCCACAAACCCAGCCAAACCCTCTCCATCCTCTCCATTTCTAGTAAAACATGCCAACATCTACTTAGATAATGTTCATTTATTATAATTTTTTTTAATGTAATCTTGAAGGTATTCTTGGCCTCTCCCTCTTTTTTCTTCTTTGATTTTTTTATTTTTAATTTAGCTTCCTCACCACTTACATTAATGCTGTCACCATTCCTGCCAACCTCGACTGGTTTATCATCCCAGAATCATATAAACAAACCATCATCACCTGATCCATAATCATGTAAAACCACTGCAAACTGTTGACAAAAAGCTAATATCAATATTCATAATTCTCCAAAACCATCCACCATAATTTAAGAAATAGACACAAAAAATAATGAGTATTTCTGACTAAAGACCAAAAGTCCAAAACTTGGGGATTTTGAACATTTGGTGTCAAATTCAACACTGATGTCCTCAAAGCCAAAGCCTTGGAGCCTTGGTGGTAGCTGCATTCATCTTCTTCTACTTTTTTTTTTTTTTTTTTTTTTTTTGGAGCAATTGGAAGAAGTGGTAACGATGGCCATGAGACTGATGACAGTAATACGTCAGAGGAGAGAGGTGGTGGTTGAGGTTCTGACTTAAATGCTGACAAATATATATGTGTATATATATAAAGGCCTTTACATCCAGTTTCGTAGAGAGTAAAAATCAAGGTAATGTTTATGGATTTATAGTGCAATTTTGTGAGGGAAGTCTCATGTCAATGTCCATGTAAATGCTTGTCCACCAGCAAAATTTCACTAGGGCACTTACACACAAAGAAAGAAAAAAGTAAGAAAAAAATTAGAGATATTAGTATTTTTATAGATGATGCACTCTTCAACTTTGTTCTGCGCCAGCACACTCTAGATATCACCATGGTAGGCTGGTAGCTAATTGATAATCCAAACTTCTAACAATGAAGGAAGCCTCATCTAATTTCCTATCAAGAGGAAAACTTTAACAATGTAAGTAGATTGACAATCTAACTTAGCCTAAAGTCCTACCAAATTATTATCTAACTTTACCTAAATCATTACAAATTTATTACAACATTATTACAACATAATACATCCTCTGTTTCTTAATACATTCACCAGGTTGAATTTATTACAAACTCAATTAGAAGTCAACTTGTTGCATGTATTGAGACACAGAGGAAGTATAAGTTGGGAAACATAAACATACATCTATAATCCAAAGTGGAAAAAGCCATCCAGTGTCATGGCTTATGAACATTACAATCATTGTAACATTCAGTCACTCCACAAGATAACTACGTATTTCATATTTTTATGAAAAGTAAGGCAAGTACAAAAGAGGTGAGGACACAATGTCTATGAGAAGCCTCTCATAATCGGACTTTGAGACTTGATATGTAATGATCAATTGTACTTTAGTCCAGTTTGCTATGAAAGTGCAACGCAAGAGAACTTCAATTTATATTGCTAGGCACTATATAGAGGATTTATAAATGAAAAAGAATGAAAAGGACTTACATGGGTTTCTAATGTTTGGTAGTAATAATCATAAAGGAATTTTAGTAGGGAAAAGAAATAAATAGAGTAGAATTTAAAAGGTTGCCAATTTTTTCGCTGTCTTTTCTATCATTGACTAACTAACAACACATTGGATTCTTTCAATGGCTCCATAACACCAAACACTAGACGATATAATTACTCTAGGTCTCGTATTCATCTTTTCCCTTCCTTCTATTCCTTTCAATTCCATTACCGAAATTACCAAAAAAGTTGTAAAGACGACTAACTGTATATTTATGCCTTTGCACCAAAAAACAAACAAAAATATTTTCCTTACCAATGTAGTAGACCTCATCCAACGATCATTGATGTTCAACTTTCCAACAAATGACCCAACTTGTACCGCTTTTATAGATTGTTTATCCAATGATCTACTCCTTCCGTCCCCGATTGATAGTCACTTATGCCATTTTTTGGGCACCCAAAATGTTAGTCACATTTGCGTTTTTCAAGTACCATTAATATTATTTTTTTTACCAAAATTCTCTAACAATTGCAAAAATATTTGTGCAAATTTAACTTTCCAATGTAAATTTTACTTTCCCATTTACTTTAATTACTTTCTCCCTCTACTTTTTTGCATACCCAATGTAAATTTACTTTTTCAATGTACTTTCTTTAATTCTCCTTAATTCCCGTGATTTTTCTTCAAAAGTGACTATCAACCGGGGACGGAGGGAGTATATCTTAACCAGCCCACTGATCATTCATTTGACTTCACAAACTCATACACATTTGACTAAGTTCGTCTAAAAAACCATTCAAACATGCCACAACTTTTAAAATTGTCCAAGTTAATTCCTCTAATATATTTTATAGCAAAGCCTAAAACCCATCACAACTTTAAGAAGAGCATCTCTTATGGCAAGCTAATTGTCCAATTAGCTTGCCTTGCCACATAACATTTATAGCTAATTAACTCTTTATTTGATTTGTACCCCAAGCTACTAGCTTGCTATTGAATTATTTTCCATGTGTCAATAAATAGTTGGCTAGCATTCTCCATCCTTTTGTCAAGCAAATTAGCTTGCCCAAGCTAATTTTCGTTTTTAACTCCAATGGTTAAGCTAGTAGCTAACTTGTAATAATTGCAAGCAAAATTCCAACTATAACCGTTGGAGTGCTGTTTAATCTAATTCATGTCCATTGTACCCCTTGGACATATCTGACGCATAGTTTGGAATGCTAGGAAGCACAAAAACATCGAGAACTTTAGGTTATTCTTTTTGAAATCCCATTGTTTGTGAATTTACATGCTAACACATCAAATAAAGCAAGTTTTTTAAGTTGCAAGGTAACCTCATATGAGTTCAAGTAGTTAATGCATAGACAAGCGAGCTTCAAGCTCCACCTTTAAACTTAAATTTCCAACTTGCCAACTTAAACAAATTCTAAAACTCAATAGAAAGATCAAGCTTTTGCTAAAGCCAGATAAAGATAACCAAGCCTAGAAAGCCGAAAATTACATCCTTACATTGAACCTACCCTTTGCAGTATACACTCAAAAATTTTAAGTACATAACATCTGCCAACTAGCTTAAACACTAAAGTAACTCGAAACTCTAGCAAAATCATAGCAATAAAACTTAGAACCCTGATATTGCAGACACCCAAATATCATTAATCCACATTCAAACAAATGTCTAACTTATGTTTAAAAATCAAATACCATCAAAGTTGTAGAATCAAAGGAATGCCATTTAATTCCCTGAATTCGGATAATCAAAAGCAGAAATAAATTGAATCATATGATTATTAATAAACTTCAAAAAAATGAGGCAAATGAACAGTAAATAACCGATTTACCAGAATTAGAATCAATGGATTGAGGGTCCCACGGATACGATCCATAATCAAAGTCGAAAGGATCATCAGAAGAAGCTTTAGCTGTCAATCGGAAAAATCGAGAGGAAATAAGAGGTGGAATAAAGAAGGAGAAAGGTTGATGATGAATGTTAGAAGAGAGGGAAGGAGAGAATTGACGGAAGCTTCGAGAAATGGTTAGTAATGAAGAACCAAGTGCAGAAGTTTCCGCCATTGGAGAATGGAGAGAGAAAATTGAGAAGAAGAAAGAATTTAGACATGAAGTTTAAGAAAGAAAATATTAAAATAAAATTAAAAAAAATGGAGAATGTGGTATCTAATTTGGCTGGATATATGGAGGACGATGGACGCCACACAAGCAGGAGGGAGGAGGGAAAGGGCACACGCGGGACCAGATGGAGAGTAATTATATGGTCAAAGATAAGATTCACATTAGACTTGACTTATTAAGAGCAACTTTAATTTAATTGATTTGTAGCTAGGGACTTAGGCCACGTTCTTTAGAGCATTCACATCAATGAGCATTTTTTTGCTCATGAGCAAAAATGGTGAGTATATTTGGTAGAAATGGTACTACATCAATTAGGAAAATGAAAAATGCTCATGAGCAATTTAATTATTTTTTGATCACTAGTGGGATAAAATTTCCTCACCAAAAATGCTCATGAGCAAATTGGTTGGGAAGAGAGAGAAAGTAGCTAGAGAGAGAATGAGCAAAAAAAAATTTGCTCACTAATGTGAGTGCTCTTAGAGCTGCTTTATTCTGCTCAAATTAAATCTGCTCTGCTCAAAAAAATATGTTTTTCTCTATTTTCAAATAATAATTAATAATAATAGTTAATATTCAATAATAATAATTAATATTGTATTGATGATAATAATTTATTATTTTGAATAATTATAATTATTAATACTAAAAATAATTTTAATAATTATTTATACTAAAAATAATTTTATAAAAATAAAATTTTATATTAATAATAATTAGGAAAATTTCACAAGAATAATCCAACCTTTCACCCATTCACCCAAAATAATCCAACCTTTCGGTTAACCTTGAATAATCCTAAGTTTACTATATATTTTCTCCTAGCAACCCCAACAGGTCACCTTACCCTTTACAACCGGTTACCATCCACGTGGCAATTTCCGATTAGTCAAAGTTTTATTTTTTAATTTTTTTAAAGAAAAATCTAAAAATTAAAAAAAAAAAAAATTCTATCTCCTTCCCCTTCTTGTTTGTATCTCTCTCCTCCTTCTTCCTCCATTATCACCCACGCACCAACACCACTCAACACACCCATGGGGCCACTGCAAACACCACCGCCTATAACCACCACAAACACCACCGACATCACCACTCATCACAACATTCATGACCAACCCACAATATCAACAACCACTCATAACACAACCGAAAACAACACCACAACAACCGCAACACCAACGACGTACGACCACCCCAATTCAGCCCAAAATTCAATTGAGAGGGAGAAAAGAGAAGGAAATTGGTGGGAGTTAGGGTTTTGTGTTCTAGGTTGGTAGAATTGGGATTTTGGGTGTATGGGTTAGGGTGGGTTGGTGAATTCGGGTATGGGTTGTTTCAGCGAGGTGGGATTGGTGGTTGTGAGTCTTGGTCGGAGTGGGTTTGGGTTTGGGTGGGGTAAATGGTGGCGGCTAAATTGCAGGCTAATTGCGAGGTGGTGGCAAGTGGAGGGTTGGTTGACAGGGAAAGGAGGGGCTAGTGGGGCAGATGGGAAAATGGGTGAGGTGGTTCACAGTGGCGGCAAGGTTGAGAGAGGTGAAGGAGCCATTGTTCATGGCAAGAAGCTTGAAACGGTGTTGAATAGCACTACAAGAAAAAGGGGTATTAGCGACCGCCAAAATAGTCGCAAATTCGTCGCAAAAATGGATTTGCGACGGATTAGCAACTACTTTGGTTAGTTGGCAAAGACCTCGTCGCAAATCCATTTTTGCAACTAATTTTTGAACAGTAGAAAATTTGCAACGGATTTGCAACGACTTTGCAACTATCATTTAGCGACTAACTTTCAAATTTTAGCAACTAAATCATTGTCCGTCGTAAAATATTAGCGACGGATTAGCGACTACGGAAACTAATGTTTTAAAACTCTTTTTGCGACGGACTAGCAATTACAAGACCAAATTTTGCGACTACAGACAAAACTTTTGCGACTACAGAGACTAATTTCTTTGCGATGGATTTGCAACTAGAGGCCAAAATATTGCGACGGTTGAGACTAATTTGTTTCGCGACGGATTAGCTGCCACGAGACCAAAATTTTGCGACTATAAAAACTAGTTTTTTGCAACAAACTAGCGACTACCGAGTCCAATTATTGCAACATACCAATTAATCTCCATAAGAAATCTACCGTCGCAATATTTTTGCGACGGGCTATTAATATTTGGAGACCTTAATTTAGTGACGACCAAATATCAATAAAAAAAAAGTACCTACACATATATTCAAATAACCAAAATGTTAATTTTATTCAAATATCCAAAATATCATCATCAATTTTGTATCAATGTATTAAAAACAATATTAGTAACCATAAGACTAATTGTTTCAAAAATCACCTCTAACATGACAAATAAGAACTAATGATGATATACATTATGAAGTAAGGTGAGAAGTAGGATCGTTCTTGTAGTAAATTTGTGAAGCACTCCCTAAACCATAAACTTTTCTATTCTTTTTCCCACCTACAACCTCCAATTAGACTTTGTCGGGGTTTATCTCAACTCCTTTTATATTCCTCAAGTTTATCCATATATTGTCCCTGCATTAAGATATGTATTTGTAACTATGGTCTCAATTGTTAAAACTTAAAAGACTAAAAAAAATAACAACACTTATAATAAAATAATTATTGTAAACAATTATTAGAAAATTTTTTTGGCAGATTCTCCTTTGTAAATCAAACAAATCCCTTCAATAGGGTATGGCTTCAAAACCTGTTTCAATTCACATTATGCCATACCACGTTAATCATTTGATTAATGCCCTCATCCTCCAACTCAATCACACAAAAAAATAAATAATCTATAAAATCTAAAAACATTAACTACCATATACTACCTCCGTTACATATTATTTGCAACGATTTGACATAAAGTAGAGAGGAAAAATGTCTAATCGTTGCAAATAATATGTAACGGAGGTAGTATTTTTTTGTAATCTTAGAAAAATATATAAGTATACTCATACCATGACTTGATGAGTCTTGTCACCCACAATTCAATTTCATTATTGCCCACATCAACAGAATGAGCTCTCATATCAGAAGAAGTTGTTAGCACTACAAAAAAAAAACATAAAAAGGGGACATATAAAAAGGAATGGGGATTGGCTTTGTTAGGTATTATGTGGTAATTGACTAATTGTATTATAATGTTCTTTCTAATTTAATTTACAAAAGCAGCCCAACATCCCTATTTTTTACTGTTCTTTCTGATTTACTTTTCTCTTGCTTTAGTTGTGAGAAATAGAGTGAAAGTAGTAGCAATTAATTACAAAATAAAGGATAATTCATAGACCCTATAACTAATGTCTAATAATAGAGCATAATGCCAAACACTTGATTTATTCCAAAATTTTAAACCAAAAATCTGCTGAACTGCAAAGAACCAAGGAGCTGGCATGCCACGTAGACTGATCACATATACAAGGAGGGAAGAATGAACAAAGCAGCAGTAGCACATCACATCACACCATGACAACAACCCACCAAGTAAGTGACAGCAACCCACCAAATTATCACACATAGGACAGGGGTGTAGTTGGGATCATTTGTGAGCATTGTACATATAAAAAGGGGAGAAGGAGCAATGGGATTGGTAGTGAATTTCTTGTGTAATTCAGTAACCCTAAGATTTGTGACTTAAAA